CTGTATATAAAATAAAAGTTGTGCAAAATTATATCACATTATTCAGTCATACAAATCGTGTACAATAATATAAGTAGTGATGTCTACCAAAAAGCTAACAGTGCTATTTACCCCTGCTCAATTTGTGGGTCCAATAAACTCCAGCATAGGTATAGCAGAGGTGTTGAGAGCCACCGGTCGATACCACTGTGTGTTTGCCGTAACTATTGATTCAAAAGCACGGCTCGAGTCCATTGGATTTGAGGTGAGACTCATTGAACAACCGGTGGCCGGGGATGTAGTGGTCACTGATTTGGCCGATACTAACGTGAATGCCGCTCAAGATTTCGGTGGCTTTGAGAATAAGACACCACTGGAAATGGCTGTCCCTATGATTGGATACGTGTTAGAGTTAGGATTAAAGGAGTTTAAGGAAATTGATCCCTTAATTAAGACTATTATCGCTGACTTGAAACCGGATGTCATAATAGTTGACAGCGCTTTGCAACCTCCAGCTGTAGTCACATCAGGCATACCCTGGATATTCAGTTGGACTAGTAATGCATTGTCACTGGATTTTTGTTACCCTGATAAACGACTTCCGCCTTCTTTCTTAGGTATGAATTCATTATTAATATTAAAATTAAATATTTTTAATATTTCATAAAATCTAATATTTTTATCGTTTGTAAGGATTGCCGACAAATAGTGAGACAGAAGTGAAGGAGAAATACAGACAACAACTCTGGGAAACAAATAGTGAATTGTGGTATAAATATAGGGATCTAATTATAGCCATGGGATGTCCACCACTGAAGGAGTTTGACTTATATACGCCATCCCCTTATGCTAACATTTATATGACACCTAAGGAACTGGATTATACGGACGTCAGACCACTGCCGGATAATTGTTATCAATTTGATTGTTTTAAACGCAGTGGGAATGAAGACACGTTTGAAATACCAGATAATCTGAAGAATAGGTCCGGAAAACTGATTTACTTATCGTTAGGATCTATGGGTTCTGGAAATGTAGAGCTCATGAAGAGATTGGTTGCGATTTTGTCCAAATCTAAGCACCGGTTCATTGTCTCCAAAGGTGTCAATCATAATGAGTACCAATTGGCGGACAATATGTGGGGCGAGAGGTCTGTCCCTCAGATAAAAGTCCTGCAAATCATTGACTTAATTATAACTCATGGCGGAAACAACACTATCATTGAAAATATGTATTTCGGGAAACCAATGATAGTTTTGCCCCTATTTTTCGATCAGTTCGATAGCGCACAGAGAATTCATGAGAAAGGGTTTGGGATTAGACTCAATCCCTACGAGTGCTCTGAAAATGAATTATTGGATTCAATCGACAGACTATTAAACGACAAAATATTGGCTCAAAAGTTGGCAAAAGTATCGCAAAGAATTCAAAGCGAGAAGAATATTGAAAAAATCGTGAAAATAGTCGACAATTTAATTTAAAAAAATTAAAAATTATTACTTTATAGTACAAAGTTTATACAATAAAAATTTAAACTTAATAATTTTAAACACAATGTTAAATTACTGTATAAAATAGTTTTACTTAAACTATTATAATTTCATACTGTAGTAACTGTTTTACTGTATTATATTATTTGATGTTTATTTTAACATTATAGTTATCGGTTCACTAAATAATTTTGTCAGTTATATAACACATGTAACACATAACATATCAGGGATAATACAATATATCAGTGAATGTGTTTTAGCAACTACATTAAACGCACAGTGGTAGATGTATTATGTAGATAAAAATAACATTAAAAATGTTTGCCAATTAAATGGCAACGTTAACGTTATTATGATTAAAAAATAATGTGTGACAAAAAGATAACTGCATTATTTGCCCCTGCTCAATACGTGAGCCCAGTAAACGCCAGTATAGGTATGGCTGAGGTATTGCGAGACACCGGTCGATACCACTGTGCGTTTGCGGTGACCAATGAGTGGAAGTCAAGGCTCGAGACCATTGGGTTTGAGGTGAAACTTATTGGACAACCGTTGGCCAGGGATGTAGTGGTCACTGATTCGGCCCATAATAATGTAAATAGTGTTCAGGAAATGGGAGGTTTTGATAACAAGACTCCATTGGAAATGACTATTCGTATGATTAAACACTTAATGAAAGCCTTCGTGAAGGGTCTGACAGAAACGGATCCGTACCTCAAGACTATTATCGCACACTTAAACCCAGATGTCATAATCTGTGATAATTTGGTACAACGTCCCTCTATAGTCACATCAGGCATTCCTTGGATATTCAGTTGGAGTAGTAATCCATTGTCATTAGATTTTGGTTATCAGGATAATACACTGCCTCTATCATTTTTAGGTACAAAATATTTTCTAAATACTTATTAATTTACTTAACGATATGTAGTATTTATGTACTCTGGGTAATATGACATAATATTCTGCTATTCTTAAGGTTTGCCCACAAATAGTGAGCCAAAAGTAAATGAGAAGTACAGACAACAACTCTGGGAAAGGAATACCGATTTGTGGTATGAATATAGGGATCAAGTCATTGCCAGTGGGTGTCCGGCACTTAAAGAGTTCCTACTATGGACGCTATCCCCCTTTGCCAACATTTATATGACACCTAAGGAATTGGATTATACGGATGTCCGACCACTTCCCGACAATTTTCATGCATTTGATTGTTTCAAACGCAGTGGAAATGAAGACCACTTTGAAATCCCAGAGAGTCTTAGGAATAGGTCCGGAAAACTGATTTACTTATCGTTAGGATCTATGGGTTCTGGAAATGTAGAGCTTATGAAGAGATTGGTTGCGATTTTGTCCAAATCTAAGCACCGGTTCATTGTCTCCAAAGGTGTCAATCACGACAAGTACTCGTTGGCGGATAATATGTGGGGCGAGAGGTCTGTCCCTCAGGTGAAAGTGTTGTCAGTCGTAGACCTAATGATAACACACGGCGGCAACAATTCTGTGACGGAAACCATGTATTTCGGGAAACCTATGATAGTTTTGCCCCTATTTTTCGATCAGTTCGATAGCGCACAGAGAGTTATGGAAAAGGGGTTTGGGATTAGACTCAATCCCTACGAGTGCTCTGAAAATGAATTATTGGATTCAATCGAAAGGCTATTAAACGACGAAATATTGGTCCAAATGTTGGCAAAAGTTTCGCAAAGAATTCAAAGCGAAAGGAATATCGAAAAACTCGTCAAAATAGTCGAGGATTTAGTGAAATAAAAATTATTAAAATATAAAATAAATGAACTTAATTTGAATTAACATTAACAAAAACAAGGTTTAATTTTGTAATTTCATAGTTTCTAAACTTAACTGCAAACTTAAGTAAAAATAACTGCAAATGTAACCAAATGTATGTAATATAGTTGTAAAATATTAAAATAAAGCAATAAATTATATCCTTAAATTCATTCAATTAAAAACTATAAAACTATAAAGTGAATACAGAAAAGTATATTTACACTCTTTATTATACATCCTGTACGGTATGCCGTATATTTCAACTAATTATTGCTACAGCATAAACAGTAAAGCACTGCATGGCAAGTACTGTACTTTTATCAGTATCAGCACTTATTAGATAACAAGGCAATTTATTTGACATTATACAGGTATTCAGTGCTATTGATAACATACCATTTAAATATCGAAACCATAGATAAACTTTTATCTATGTTTATACATTAGCTAACTTTCAGTACATTAGCCAACATTGAGGTCAGTACTGGACAGTTAGTTCAAAATTAAAGTGCTATATAAACTTTGTACTTTGATGCTAAATAAAGCGTAAACAATTCAATGCATAGTGTACTTGATAAGTTTGCTAATCAGTATATAAGTCATATATGTTGTTTAATAGCATGTTTAGTATTTCCCAATCATTTATCAATGCCATACAATCTGTGCAAATATTTTTGCTAAACTCGCTAACAGTATAATAGCGTTAAAATGATAATTAGATTACGATTTGTTGGGGTATTTGATGGGCAATTAATTTATGTGTTTTTCGCACTCGAGAGCTAAATAAATATGTAAATCCAGATATGGATCCAAATTTCAAGTTTAATAAATTTAATAATAACAAAAAAACAATTTCTGCTAAACTTTCAACAAACAATTAATTACATGATATGTTGTTTAATAACATGTTTAGTATTTCCCAATCATTTATCAATGCCATACAATCTGTGCAAATATTTTTGCTAAACTCGCTAACAGTATAATAGCGTTAAAATGATGATAAGATTACCATTTGTGGGGTATTTGATGGGCAATTAATTTATGGGTTTTTCGCACTCGAGAGCTAAATAAATATGTAAATCCAGATATGGATCCAAATTTCAAGTTTAATAAATTTAATAATAACAAAAAAACAATTTCTGCTAAACTTTCAACAAACAATTAATTACATGCTTACCAATAATTGTAATAAATAACATTTTATGTCATTTTAATGTCATTTTAATAAAAATTTTAAAATTTAACAGCAGTAAGCACCAATAGGACCTTGAACGGTTATATGACCACTGTATTGATTCCACTCAAAGAACTTGATATTGATTAGAAGGTTATACCAATTTAAGTGAATTCCCAGTTCATTACAGAACTTTAGAGTATATAGATGATTTAACCAGTTAATCAATTTAGTAATATAACAATCAAAAAAATTAGGGCTGACCTACGAATTCAAACCGTGCTATATATATAAATTGTTGTAACTATCTCATTAATAACTTTGTAGTGTAACTTACATTGAATTTAACTGTACCGTACTATTATCTAATACAAAATAATGTGTACAATATAATACTTTGTACATTTGATGCTAAATAAAGCGTAAACAATTCAGTGCATAGTGTACTTGATAAGTTTGCTAATCAGTATATAAATCATTAGTTTTCGAGTTTTATTTCTATTGAAAAATTGTCAAGAAGTTAATAAAACTTTTTAGAAATTTAAAAAAGTGCTCCGAACAACATGTCTAACAAAAAGCTAACTGTCCTATTGGCGCCGGCACAGTTTGTGGGGCCCATGATGTCCAGTATAGGTATGGCCGAAGTGTTGCGAGACGTGGGCGGACACGAGTGTGTGTTTGCCGTCACTAACGATTGGAAAGCACGGCTCGAGTCCATGGGATTTGAGGTGAGACTTATCGGGGAACCGGTGGACAGGGATGTGGTTGTCATGGATTCAGCCAATAGTAACGTAAAGGACGTTCAGGAAACGGGAATTATCGATGACATCACACCGTTTGAAAAGGCTATCAGGTGTAACGATTTCTTTATGCAATTATTACCCAAAGAGATCCGAGAAACTGATCCATACCTCAGGAGTATTATAGCGGACCTAAAACCGGATGTCATAATTAGCGACCATTTGATAACACTTCCCTCTATAGTCACATCAGGCATACCCTGGATATTCAGTTGGAGTAATAATCCTCATTCACTGGATTATGGCTATGAGGACAAACGCCTCCCGCCCTCAATGTTGGGTATGTTTCAACGTATAATTAAATAATTATTTAGAAAATAATTTTTATTTTTGTGTCGTTTATAAGGATTGCCGACAAATAGTGAGACAGAAGTGAAGGAGAAATACAGACAACAACTCAATGAAGAAAAGGGAGACAAATGGTACACATATAGAGATCAGTTCATTGCTAATGGATGTCCGGAACTCAAGGATTTCCTTATGTGGACCCCATCGCCCTTTGCAAACATATATATGATACCCAAAGAACTGGATTATACGGACATCAGACCACTTCCTGATAATTTCTATGGATTTGATTGTTTCAAACGCAGTGGAAATGAAGATAACTTTGAAGTCCCAGAAAATCTTAAGAATAGGTCCGGAAAACTGATTTATCTATCGTTAGGATCAATGGGTTCTGGAAATGTAGAGCTCATGAAGAGATTGGTTGCGATTTTGTCCAAATCTAAGCACCGGTTCATTGTCTCCAAAGGTGTCAATCATAATGAATACGAATTGGCGGACAATATGTGGGGCGAGAGGTCTGTCCCACGAGTTTTATTTCTATTGAAAAATTGTCAAGAAGTTAATAAAACTTTTTAGAAATTTAAAAAAGTGCTCCGAACAACATGTCTAACAAAAAGCTAACTGTCCTATTGGCGCCGGCACAGTTTGTGGGTCCCATGATGTCCAGTATAGGTATGGCCCAAGTGTTGCGAGACGTGGGCGGACACGAGTGTGTGTTTGCCGTCACTAACGATTGGAAAGCACGGCTCGAGTCCATGGGATTTGAGGTGAGACTTATCGGGGAACCGGTGGACAGGGATGTGGTGGTCATGGATTCGGCCGATAGTAACGTAAAGGCCGTTCAGGAAATGGGAATTATCGATGACATCACACCGTTTGAAAAGGCTATCAGTTGTAACGATTTCTATATGAAAGTGTTACCCAAAGAGATCCGAGAAACTGATCCATACATCAGGAGTATTATAGCGGACGTAAAGCCGGATGTCATAATTAGCGACCATTTCCTAACACTTCCCTCAATAGTGACATCAGGCATACCCTGGATATTCAGTTGGAGTAATAGTCCTCATTCACTGGATTATGGTTATGAGGATAAACGCCTCCCGCCATCATTTTTAGGTATGTTTTAGCGGATAATTAAATAATTATTTTGAAAAACGAGTTTTAATTATTGTATTGATTATAAGGATTGCCGACAAATACTGAGACAGAAGTGAAGGAGAAATACAGACAACAACTCAATGAAGGAAAGGGAGATAAATGGTACACATATAGGGATCAACTCATTGCTAGTGGATGTCCAGAACTCAAGGATTTCCTTATATGGACCCCATCTCCCTTTGCCAACCTATATATGACTCCTAAGGAACTGGATTACACGGACATCAGACCACTTCCCTATAATTTCTATGGATTTGATTGTTTCAAACGCAGTGGTAATGAAGACACGTTTGAAATCCCAGAGAGTCTTAAGAATAGGTCCGGAAAACTGATTTATTTTTCATTGGGTTCTATGGGTTCCGGAAATGTAGAGCTCATGAAGAGATTGGTTGCGATTTTGTCCAAATCTAAGCACCGGTTCATTGTCTCCAAAGGTGTCAAACATAATGAATACGAATTGGCGGACAATATGTGGGGCGAGAGGTCTGTCCCACAGGTAAAGGTTCATTGTCTCCAAAGGTGTCAATCATAATGAATACGAATTGGCGGACAATATGTGGGGCGAGAGGTCTGTCCCACAGGTAAAAGTGTTGCCAATTGTAGACCTAATGATAACACACGGCGGCAACAATTCTGTGACGGAAACCATGTATTTCGGGAAACCTATGATAGTCTTACCAATATTTCTCGATCAATACGATAACGCACAGAGAATTCATGAGAAAGGGTTTGGGATTAGACTCAATCCCTACGAGTGCTCTGAAAATGAATTATTGGATTCAATCGAAAGGCTATTAAACGACAAAATATTGGCCCAAAAGTTGGCAAAAGTATCGCAAAGAATTCAAAGCGAAAAGAATATCGAAAAACTCGTCAAAATAGTCGAGGATTTAGTTAATAAATGTTAAAAACCTAATTTCAATAAAATTAAATGATTATTGCTTTTAATTAAAAAATAATTATGTAACTTATGCTGTAATGACATTATTAGATTAACATGTTATTTAAACTAAATAAGTTGTATTCCTTGTATTAAAACAATTATATGAATTAATAGTGATAAAATTAATATGATATCATACTCTCTACTGTATTAATACGGATAGACTTTGTACAGGAGTTTACATTAATTGTTAATAATATTAACATTATATGCATACATTGAATAGTCCTAACCGTATGGGTATTTCAGGGAAGTATCCTTTGAGTTGTAACACCTTTAATAGGACTAGAGGTCAGTTTGAGTAAAAGGTTTCATCAAAAGGACATGTCAGGACTTGCATCAAAGCGTTTAATTTTAGTCAGTCACTCCATTAGCCCTCCCGAATGTGTATTTCAGTGAAGTGTCCTTTAAGTTGCAACACTTTGGAAACGGGTAGGTGGTCTAATGGGTCAGTGGTTTAATTAGTTTAATGGTTAACATAATAATAATATTAATTCATATTAGTATATATGTTTAATTATAATATCACTTACAATTGAAGATATATTCATCATAATGCTAATTAAATATGAGGTTATGTCTAAAAGTATCCTGATGATATATATAAAATTATAGAAATAGTCCCCCGTGCTTATACTAAGGTTTGGGTCAGTATGGTCAAGGTAAGTTTAATGTATATCACTATTGATTTCACATACTCAAGTACATACTCTATGGTCGGGAGTTCGAATCCAGGTGGGTGCAAATATTTTAAAAATTACATTTCATTAAATAGTATATTTTATTTTACTTTTTATTTACATTTTAATTAAAAGTATTCATAATAAATATATTTTAATAGTATCATGATAATATTTATAATTAATAAATTTATATAAACTAAATTGATGTATAAATTAGTATTGTTAAGTGAACTCTAACCTCGGACAACATTTCAATACGTTTTTAACATAGATTTCTAAGGCCCCAAATTTGAACTTTAGACTCGAGAACTTTTATAAAGAAGTTTAGCCAAGCCTATAGGATTATATCCTTAATATGATATATATAAATCTAATGTTAATTTTATTAACAATTTAATTTATAACTTAATTCCGAACCAGATTAACTAAATTATGATCATAATTAACTAAATTATGATCAGAATTAATTAAATTATTAACGGAATTACCTTAATATTGTTAAAATTAACTTAATTCCAAACTATATTGACTAAATTATGATCAGAATTAACTAAATTAAAATCGAAATTACCTTAATTGTTGTTATAAATATAAATTATTTAATTGGTAAATTATATCAAAATGAAATTAATTTTGATATTGTTTTATACAGTAGTTTTGCTATTATTCAAAACAAATAAAAGCACTTAATTATACCAATTGTGCTGTCATTCTAAAACAGTTTGGGGCTAATTTAACTGACCTTAATGAAAGATTTATTAATTATTATAATCAATCAAGTTGTAAAAATGGCTATTGTGTTGCAAAAATTACACGATAAAGCGGTCATTTGATACATTTGATATAATGGAATCAAATGATGATTTATTACAGTACTTAATTAGTCTTAACGATCAAGCACAACGTTTTAATCAATACATTAATTGTACTCAAAATGTTGTAGCCATGATCCTTCACAATGTGACATATGATAATCAAGTTCCCGATAATCAAGAAAACGTAAAAGATGATAATATGTAAGTAATTTTATGAATTCAAAATATGATTTTAATTAATATATTATAATTATAGTCAAAATGAGCATGTTCAGAGACAATTGACTACAACAATTGAAAGAGTTACAAGAAATTCAGAAAGTTGAAGGCTATAATATGTTCCAAGAGGTTTGGTTGAAACAATTATTAAATCAAAATACAATGACCATCTACACTGTTACTAATCCTAACATAAAGCCATGGTTTAGATATTTATACAATCCAACAAACCCGTCAACGTCAAGATATAGATGTGATACTTGTTTTCTATACTCACACCTTCGATTTAATTTTAAAATTAGAAATTTGCCAATTATATCCGAACATGGAGAGCTTAAAGACACAAAAGAAAAAATAGAAATGCTTTAAGAACTCATGCCAAAAATCCAATTCATTTAAAGGTGTTGGGATGGGTAAAGAAGTATGCTGATGGAGAACCGGTAAGCCCTGATGATATATTAGAAAGCACTGCTAAATATGTACGCACAGTATATACCCTTATTAAAATGCATGGTAGTTTGAAAATATTATTGATTTATATTGGTTGCAATATTCTAATGGGGTTGATTTGCATAAAACGTTCTTCAATACAGCCAGCGTATCGAAAATGATGAAATTAATTAGTCAATATTTTTAAAAAAATTAATTGACGATATTAAATATTTAAATTCCCGTATTTCTGTTATCGTTGACACTGCTACTGATGCAACTAATCACAATTATCTAATTTGTTATTTTTCAATGATGAGGGATTTTAAACAACAAATTGTTTTTTATAAACTTATTAAAATAAGGACCGATCAAGACGCGATTACGCTTACTAAACTTCTAAAAACAAATTTTATAGCTGATGGGATTGAAGCAAATATCAAAACTAATTTAGTTAGTTTTGTCTCCGATGGTTGCAATGTTCTTCAAGGTGATATAACTTCTGTAAGCGTTTTATTAAATGATTGGCTGGGAAATCCTAGAAAACAATTATTTAAAACACTGTTTTGCTGATCAACTACAATTAAGTTTGAATAAGTCGTTCAAAAAGTTTATAGTGGTTAAAAGCATTGGAAGTGTTTTAAATGATTTTAGTACATTTTATTTTGGTTTCAGTAAAAAAAGATTAGCTCATTTAGAAGAATTGTCTGAGGCTTTGCAATTAAAACTTTATAAATTTAAAAATATTCATAAAATAAGATTCGTTGCAAGTTCACGTGATATGATAAAAAAGTTTTTATTATCATTTGACGCCGTCTATCATGAATTAAGATCTATCATTAATGAAAAGTTATTTACAAAAGATGTTCAAGATAGAGCTGAACAGTTTTATTTAACTCTAACAAAAATTTTATTTATTCATGTTATTTCTTATGGGATATATTAGAACTTTTAACGAAAGCTTCAAAACAATTTCAAGATAGTAATGCAGTGTTTACTGATATTGATAAAATTGTCACAGCTTTAATAACTGGACTTAAACAGTTGGAACATAATGATGGATTACACATAAAAGAGTTTTATGATTTATTGTTTATTGTACGTGAAGACGGTATGGATGAAAACACGCAGTGGAGTATGCAAACATATGAAAAGTTCGGAATAGCCCATGATAAATACAACGTTGTATTTGGAGAGAGAAATTGAAAAATTTCCAAAATTATCAACATTCAGGAAAGAATTGATTGAATCAATAATAACAGGATTAAATGCAATTATACCCTCTGACAAATTAAGACTATTCAGTCTATTTGAACCTAAGTCAGTTGAAAATATATCACCCGAAAATTCTGATACATTCAAGAAATATTTGAAATGTTTGATATTGAGTTTAAAGATGATTGATTCCAAAGACTCCTTACCATATTGACAGAAATTTCCACATCTAATGATTATAATATAATGAAGACCAAATCATTCCTAAAATTTTGGAATTATTATTTATTTAGATGGAATTATTTGGGACGATATTAATACACAATTCATTAAGACGTTAATTTCTTTACCGTTGTCCTCGAGGTGTTGCGAGATCGGGTAGTATATTTGCATACGAAAGGTTGTATATTTACTATAATTTATATTACAGGTTCAGTGTCATGCAATATATTAAAGATAAACGTAAAAGTCTAATGGATGCTGAAACTTTGGATGCACATCTACGCATTCGTCAAATTGGACCCAAATTTGCTATACAACTTGATGCCACTAATATAGCTGCTGAGTGGGTAAAAGATCACAACCCCCTGATATATTACATCAAGGTCCTGAACAACCACCGAAGAAAATGCGGACAGACACTATAACTACAATTGATCCAATGGAAGAAGCATAAAATTCATTAACTTGAATTGATTATATTTATAATATTTCTATATTGTATGTTATTAATTGATTAATCAAGATAGAATAAAATATTTACTATTCAAATTTGAATACAATTTTGTTATCCAATTGAACCTTTTATAAAATAAACACGATTTTAAATCACTAATCTTACCAGTATTGGGTGAAAATGTTATTATTTATTAATAGAATTGAATATATTTATAATATTTCTATATTGTATGTTATTAATTGATTAATCAAGACAGAATAAAATATTTACTATTCAAATTTGAATACAATTTTGTTATCCAATTGAACCTTTTATAAAATAAACACGATTTTAAATCACTAATCTTACCAGTATTGGGTGAAAATGTTATTATTTATTAATTTAATTAATACGATCGTATTCTACGTAAAATTCTCTATAAAATTGATATAGCACATTTGACCATTTTTTTAATATTTGATTTTATTATGCCAATATATGTTACCAACAGTACAAATAATTTATGTGAAAGAATTTTTCAAATATTCCAATTATTAAAGAAATGGCAGCATTTTGAATATTTTTATTTTTGTGCAGTAAAATTAAACGCCTTGATGCAAGTCCTGACATTTACTTTTGATGAAACCTTTTACTCAAACTGACCTCTAGTCCTTTTAAAGGTGTTACAACTCAAAGGATACTTCCCTGAAATACCCATACGGTTAGGACTATTCAATGTATGATACGAAGGTGCATTACACACAACTTATACATAGCCCACCGTATATATCGGTACTTTCTTTCCGGGTTTACGCAAGCCATAGCACCGGTTTATTATTATATGTACTTGTTGCTTGTTAAGTATTTACCAAAACAAATTCAATTTATTGAGATAAAAATAAATGTTTAAACATTTATGAATATCATATTTTATTAAAATACGTAG